CCCGTCCCGCATTCTCATTCTAAAAGCCTAGAAATAAGGGCTTACAGGCCCCTGTCGTTTCAGCCTGAAAGACTGAAAAACGAGGGCCTGCAGGCCCTATGTCATTTCAGCCTAAAACAGGGCTTTTCGGCCCTGAGGCTTTTCAGCCTGAAACGGAGGGCCACTTTCAGGCCCTCATAAGATCGACCTGCCCTAACACTCAGGCACAAAACCAGGGTTTCGGGAACAGGCTATCTTTAGCCTGTTCCCACGACAGCCTCAAGTAGGAGCTGCAGCCGCAGCCTGACTCCCTTCGGCATTGGCAAGAGCAGCCTCCTGGAATGCCTCGCCCTGCAGTCAGGAGGCAGGCGAGTAGTACATAGGGAGTTCCCATGCACTTCACGGGGTGGTAGTTGGACAGAAGGCAGGAGTAGTCTTCAGGATTCGGCCACAGCACTCAGGAGGAGCGCTGCAGGAGTAGCTTAGCGCTAGCAGTAGTCTTCAGCGCTGGGCGCTAGTAGACATAGCACTAGTCTTCAGCGCTGGGCGCTAGTAGGTGGTAGTAGTAGAAATGGGAGAGATGGCTGGCGGAGGCCAGTGAGAGTTACCTGTGGCGCCATAGCTCCAGCTCCATCTTCGAGGTACCTGCATCAAGGCGCCAACTTCACAGGTTAGTACCGGACTGAGCGAGAGAGAGAGAGAGAGTTCTTCTTCTTCCTCTTCTAAGTCCACCATCTCTTCTTCCCCTCTCACCACCTGACTTCTCAGTATCAGCGGACTACTACAGAGAGAGAGAGTTGTGACTTGAGACTTGACGACATTGGATCCAGACTCGACATTGGGATTCAGACATTTTGACGAGGGACTATTTGGGCCTGTGCCGAAGACTTGGTGTTGACGACATTCCCATCTTCCCCTCTTCTTCGTCTAACCCCCCTCTTCTTCGTCTGTGTATGGTTGGGGCTGGCGCAGTCTTCCTGTGTGAGCGCCAGACCCCTTCACACCATGGAATGATGATGATGATGTATGTTCGGGGCTGCATTGCAATATTGATTGTTCGGATCATTGGTATCTAAGTCTTCTGCTGCGCTATCTTGTACTTTGTATTGAGAGGTCGGTTCTTGTTCTGGTCTGCACCGTTACAGTATGCAACATGTACCCAACTCTTCTGAACCATCTGGTCTCCGAGCCTCTGGGCCCAGGTTTATGTGCCAACCAAATCTGCATGCTACTTCCCTGTGCTCAAGACACAATGTGTGAAAATATAGTCTTGCTCCAAGTCAGAATCGCTCACCTCAGGACTCGAACCTACAATCTGCCAGAAACAGAGAAGAACATATAGCTAACAGGTGACGTGACCAGAGATGAGATTGAAGCTCGTCAATGCAGACTTCACCCCACCCAGCATAACTAGTACTTAAGGGTCCTGTAACCTCCAAAGATCAGTGCAAGTTCATTCTTAGTATTCCAGCCATGTTAGACTCAGTGAACTCAGGTGTTGCAATGGAGAAGTTGTGGGTTCTATTCCTATCGGCCCACAGCCCCTTCTGTGCACGCTCAGTTGGTGTTAGTTTGACTTCATGTACTTGTCCACCAGTCTAGTGCAGAGCACTGCATGCCAGCTGTCATGACCTTAAGGAGGGGGTGGAGCAGTCTGAAGATAAAAGAGAGGAACAAATGAGCCAGAAAAAGGACATCAGAAACCAAGTGTTAGAACAACAACAATGAAGACAGCAACAGCAACAACAGCGAAAACAGGGACAACAATGACCACAACAACTACAACAACAACAACAACAACAACAACAACAACAACAACAGCAACTTGAACAACACTTAGCGGGCTCTCATATGTTAGACCTTGGCCTAGGCCATTAGACACTGTCTGTGGTAGGTGGGGGAGAACATTCAGACATAAAGAGGAATCTGGGTAAAGAATCTTGTGGGGCATCTACGGTCTACTCGGGGCCTGCAGAGAAAAGGTTCACACATGATGTCCTGAGCACCCATACAGCAGGTCTTGTTCTAAGGCCCACCTGGGGAGCTGCAATGGAGTAGTAGTTGAAAATGTCACGGTTTTTGCATTGTGAAATGCTAGTATATGTGGGATACTGCGCACCACACGGGCCCCGCAGGGCCCAACCAGGAGGAACAAGGGTTAAGTACGAGCCTCTAGGCCCTGTGCTGTTTCAGCCTGAAAAGGGCCCTCCAGGCCCTAAGTCTTTTCAGCCTAAAAAGAAGGGCCAAATCTTAGGCCCTCTTAAAGTCGACCTTTCCTAGAACTTAGGCGCCAGAACAGGGATAAGCGCAGGCCATTTTTAGGCCCGTTTCAAGACAAACTTTTTTTTTAACTTGGGCGCCAGGATCTGGCACGATTCGGGATTGGCAAGAGCAGCCTCCCAGCCGGACCAGCACTATATAGTGCTGGTCCGCCCGGGAGGGCACAGGCAGTTCAGGAGGCAGTCTTCAGGATTCAGCAGCAGCACTCTGCAAAGCGCTGCAGTGGTAGTAGGAGATGATGATAGGAGTAGTCTTCAGCGCTGGGCGTTTAGAGTAGCGTTTGAGAAAGAGGAGAATGGCGGAGGCCAGGGGGACTTACCTGGGAGCTTACCTCTGATGCCATAGCTCCAGCTTCGTCTTCGATGTACCTGCAACAAGGTGCCACCTTCACAGGTTAGTACCTGGCACAGAGAGAGAGAGAGAGAGAGAGAGA